TCCCGTTTACTTCCCTTTGGCAATTCTTACCACGTGCACGTTGCTAAATTTGAAACACACGATTCGTTTCAATGAGAAATGTCTGAAACATATCGAGTGGATATTTTCAAGCAGGTGATTAAATGATTCATTTTTCTGATTCATATTTCTTTGCCCGCCTGTCAAAGATATGACATTGCAGATATTAAACAAAATATTTAGTGTACAGTGTGAATAACCATCTTAAGTATATTATTGAAAATAACCTCGCTGAATATTAAGAATCATTGCAATTTAAGCACTTTTGCTTAATGTCTTACATCGTGTCGATTTCTTGTAAAATGTTTGCAACACAATATAATCACGATAACAATGAAAAACATGCTGGTTAAATTTTTCCAGTATTCGAATGAGATTCCACCTGCTTTTTCCACCGTACGCGAGTAAATCCTTGTCGAAACCTGTGGCAAACGATCATCGGAGCTGTTAAAAAGCACTATGACTTCCATCGAGAGCGACGCGCAAAAAGAGCTCTCAATCCGGCGTCGATCAGAAAAATCGGCCGCGTGTCCGGTAATGCCCAGTGACACGGACAAATGCGACAGGAAATCATTTCACGTGGCTGATAAATCGAAAGGTTCGGATCGAACGCATCTGCGAGAGCCCTAACGCGTTAGCCCAGGGCCGAGACTGCGCTCGTTCTTCCCCTGCGCCGCTGTCCACATAAATCACGCGCTGAACCGCGGCCAGAAGAAAGGGGACGAGATAAAAACTGTTATAAATTTCGGCGCGAACGGACGTCTGGACAGCGGAAGAAAGGATGCACCGTCCGGACCAGAGACTTTCGAGAATTTAGAACCCGCCGCCCGAATCGTTAGAACAGCGTTAATAATTTTCGAAAGTTTCGCGCTTTTAATACAAGAAGATCGTGTAAGGAGCGACCCAGTCTAATTTATCTTCCGTGGGAAATTGCTCTAGCTTACTTGGATGTATCGAGAGGTATAGTTTGCTCGAATATGGGGGGGGGGGAGTTGACAGAGTTGATAGATTTATGTAGTGAAATTATTTCTGATTCGATTAGTACATACGAGACGCACGAAATTTGTTATTTCAATATTTGTCGCACTTCTCATTTGTACACATGTGTAATATCAATTTTGAACTTTATTCGCTATTTCATAATGTCGCGATAAATCTTCAACTGTAATTGAAACTGTATAACAAATGCATTATATTTGAATAATGGATTTGAAAAAAAAAAAGAAAGAAAGAAATATGAATGCTCAGTGAATATTTCGAAAACTCGGATATTCAAATATTATTCGATACAAAGAATTAATTATTGTGATAAATCCAAGGGGCGTATTTGAGCAAATTAATGAGCAAAAAATCGAGAAAGATATCGAACTCTTCCGATCCCCTCGGCAAAAGCAGAATTTGTCGAATTATTAAATTCGTCATTTTGATTGAAGAGAATGCTCTTCGTTATCAAACATCGAATTAATCTCGCGTGACTAATGCTATAGTAGGTGTCGAATTGATACAGATACACACACATAATCGCTACACTATTAAGCTGATTCGAGTTCCAGTTAATTGAAATTCGGCGTTAAATGACACTTGACATTAATTGAAGGTTGCTGAAACAAAAAGAAAATAGCTCGTCGTCTGTAAAATTGAATCTACTTGGCCAACGAAACAATAGAATAAAAAAATATTCAGAGTGGCTTTTACTTCGTAAATGACTATCGTGCGAGAAAATAGTTGTCTATCAAATTGAATCTATTCGACCAACGAGAAGAATAGAATAAACAAAAAAAGAAAAAAAGTAGAAAAAAAGCGTGACTTTTGCTTCGTAAAAAAATTTCACTATATATATATATAGAGTGTCAGGAAAAGAAGGTTCGTGCCCACAGTTGAAATGTTGACCCTTCGAGTGTTCTTTGAATTTGTCCATGAATGGATTAAAAATTAGTTTAACATTGGTATAATTATATATTGCGATGGATAAATAAGTACGGAATTTAAGAAAACAAAGATTTATTTTTATTATCGTTTCTTTATGAAATCCCGTATAAGGCTCCACCTTCCCTAAATTATCTTAAATTGCTTCGTTAAAGGTAATACTCGCGCGTTTCGCGTACAAAGAACGCCGTGGTGTTTCGCGTTTGGCAGAAATGAAAAGCGTGAGAGGGAACAATTGGTAAATTAGTTCGGGGGAAAGTGATGTGAAAGGAAGCTCGTTGCGTCTGATATATACGTTGTTGACAAAGCTGACAGACAATGAAGGTAATAATTGGAAACGAGGCTGTAACACAATCCGCTGATACACACACGGGCGAATATTAAAAATCCGCGGTGAACGAGTTCACGCTTAGGTGGAGCAAAACGCAATGGTAAATTAATTTATACTGGCGGGATAATGACCCAGACGCGCATTGTTTCCATTGTGCGCCCATCGCAGAATATCGCGTTAATTAACAACGGTGGCACGTGAATGCCGGGCTGGTTTCACTCGGCAAGAAAGAAAGGAATCGCGCGCGACGAAAAAATTACGACCATTTACAGACGGAACGCGAGCCACGAGTGTGTAACGTTCACAACGAACGACGCGTCGAGTTGATTTTGCACGATTTTATATTGCCGGCCGTCGAATCGGTGTTTAATTGCAGAGACAATGGTAACGGGACGCTGACGAGCAACCAGTGCCGATTGTCGAGGCTAATTTTAATCAGGCTTCTAATTCTGAGCCGAGAATAGAGATATTTTGTTTAATCGTCTAACTATCTCCATCTACTGCAATTATTCTTTTCAAACGTGTAGAATATACAAAATTGTACTGAGCATTAGGACCAAATTACTATAGAGTTAATTAGCATAGATATTAGTACAGTATAGACATTCTCCATCTTTCGAGAATTGAATTCCACGAAAATCGAATTCATTCGAATCGAAAATTAAATAATCGCATTTGTCGTCTCGTCAGAGGAAGAAGCTAAGTGAGAGTACGAAATTAGGAAGCTCGTGAAATTAGCATTTTCACGGGGAACGATCTGGCCGGACTTAAGACCGGAGTTAAGACTGACAATGAGAGGAGGCCAGCTACAACCTGACGGGCGAAAATTAGCGGAGTGTAACGATGAAAAAACAAACGAAACAGCCGGATGAAAGTTGAGGCTACGCCAAGATCTCTCCCGCGCCTGGCACGTAAATGGGTGAAGGGAAATTGTTAATTTCATACCGATTCCCTTATCGTGATACTAATTGCACGTACGCTCGCGGCAGTAATGAAAACGAATGAAAGCAGAAAACGCGATAAAATATCAGGTGAGCGAGGCAAAGTTAGGTTGAGTTGCGTATGAAATAGCGGGTATCGCGCAAGCGTGTAAAATTATCTCGTGATTCAATGTGCTGTTAAGTAGTATGTATTAAACGTCGATTTAAAGCTCGAAGCTTGTCAATTTTAATAAACGATCAGTATTTTATCGTAGGTGAATTATGTACGAGCGGCTAGATTGATATCTACGTTGTCTCACCAATGGTTGACTAATACTACTTCTCGACACTTCGCGTCCGCAAGTTTGGAACAGGCATTAGTTTTACATTTAAAAAATAAATAAATATTGAACTAATACACAAAGTGTGTTACTTTAATTGTAAATATAACTTGAATAAAACATTTGTAAGTAAACATTTATAAACGTCAGTATTATTAGACCTTTGGGTATCAAATGTTGTATCGTATAAAATTTTTATTGCACGTAGGTTTAATTGAATTTCCATATCAATGAATACATACGTATTCTTTCAATGACGTAAGAGTGTAAGAATTATGATTTAGTGAAAAGTTGGTTTAGATGGAACGAAAAGTGTCCTGCCCCTTCGAAGGACATTTTCAATGTAAAAGAATCACGTGAATATTCCGAATTACAGAGATCAGTGTTATAGTAATAAAGTTTAATATAATTACAACTAACGATTGGACAAAATTTATTAAGTGTAACAACGTGAAACTTTGAGAAAACGAGCTTTCGAATGCAGCCTAATAATAACGTAATTTCACTTGCCAGAAAAAAACACGATTTTGTCTGACAGGATGACTCAAACTTTCGGACAGTGATGTACAAAGCGAGAACAGGCCAGAATTATTTCTACGTTTCTAATTTCGAAACTAAAGTTCGTAGAAGAGAAATTAAAACTCGCAGCTGGAAGGATAGTTTAATTTCCCGGAGAAAGAGCGTTTTGCTTAAAAATTTACTCGAGGCACGGTGGCCGGAAATAAACAAGCTAATTCAGGGAAACTAACCAGCGCGAAGCACCTGCACACACTCCACCTTGCGAGGAAAGAGATTTTTCTCATTCGCGTTTACAATTACGACTAAATAAAAACTTAGAAAAAAGAGAAAGGAAAGAAAGGGAAAAGAGAAGTAGAAAGATGAGATAAAAGAGAGAAAAGGAAGTAAGTAGATATTCTCAATGAAACCACTACAGAATTACGAGCCGCGTGTTCTACTTCGCGTTGGGAATTGTGTCTTGCGTCGTTTCAAAGACAAAAAGACAGAGAGAGAAGATGAAAGGAAAGAGAGAACGTTGACGAGAAAAGGATGGGAACGGTTTTCACGACGAAAGGGCCGCGACACGTAATTCCAGAGAGAGAAGAACGAGATAAAGAGAGAGAGAGAGAGAGAAGTCTGACCTTTGTAATAAAAGAGGCAGTACTCGGAGAGGACGAACCACCGTTTCTTCCAGAGCATGAGCCCCTCGGAGCCCTGTTTGTGTAGCCAGCCCTGAAGGGCAACCGGGGCGGAGAGTGGCCTCTTCGCGGCTGGTGATCGTAAACCCTGGGAGCCGCTTCGTCTACGAACCCCAGACACCGACGCAGCCACCCCCGAGCCATCGTTCTTGCTACGTACCTGAACAGGTACGGGCAGCGGCGCCGCCTGGACAACCTGCAATCATTTTATAATTTCATTTATACTAATTGTGCCTTTTTCAGGTGATTGTACGATCTTATAATTTGTCGAACACTCGAATAGTTAAACTGTTACAATTTCGCGGAACTGAAAAATAAATCTGCATTTATCTTACTTCATTTACTACACTATTCTGCTTGTTTCGCATACTTTGTTTTACGTTTGTTTCATTTGATTGCTACTTTCCAAAATGCGCTGTTTCGTTCTAAGATGTATTTAACACCATGTAGCATGTTGAAAAGCGAATTGTCACTGCAAAATTTTACTAAATTTTTTTTCTTTTCCTTCATTGTTACTTGTACCATCCTTTAGTACCACTTTAGAATCTTGTGAAATTTAAAAGAAAAATTGACGCTATATTATAGCGTTGTGGCTACGAAGAAGTATACTTTCCATCCCTCTTATTTCCATCATTAAATATTGAAATTTTATAAAAATTGAAAGAAAGCGACGTGTTTATAACACCACGAGTAGATATTTTCGCAATTGTAGGGAAATGTATCATCCAAAATAAGTGCTTCCTGTTTTTCTATTTTCATATCTAATTACATTTTCAAAAATTAAGGTAAACAATTTGCGTGAAAATCCACTGTCTAACTGTGAAAGGTGACCGTTTGGTATTTAATGAGTTCAAAACAGTTTGCAAGAAGAGACAGAATTATTTCGACGGAACGTCGCCAGACCTGACCGATGAAATTTGTTAAAATCAGTAGATAGAGAACCGAGGGACCATTGGAACGGTCAGTTTTGAAAGAGTAACTTCGTTTACGCTGGTCAGACGAGAAAGTAGCCCGAAGTGCAGTGCCATGTTGCTTCCTAAGCGACAGGTTTCACGATAGCTGATTGGTAGCCGCTTTTCCGCTTCCTGTCCGGCCCAGTTAGCACGAAAATTCCGGCCATACGATGGAAAATTTATCGACTGCCCGCAAAATCTCACGTTCGAAATCAAACGAAAGGAAAAACATCGACAGGGATACTTGTAAAATTGCGACTACTATTTGGACTACGATAATAAAAGAATAATATATAAAAGAATAAAAGAATATATTATAAATAATATGATAGATAATAATAAAAGAATAAAAGTATATTTCGAAAACTGACATTTCACTGTTTATTATAGTCACATAGTGATTCCTATTAATAGTCAAATACCATGGTACCTTACGAATTATTCTTGTACATATTTGTTTATAATAACTTATTTTTAATACGTGTAGATTAATTCAACTTCTCTTCAACTTTTATAGCAATAAAAAAGAAAATTTTAATGCAAATATAAAAGAAAAGGAAAATTAAAATAAATGAAGAGAATAATGTATTTTTTTTTTTTTTTTTTTTTTTTTT